AAACGCCGCGTTTCTCTTCGGAAGAGAAAATATTCTTCGTACGGTGGAATGCCCGAAACGGAAAATATAGAATCTCTTTTATTTCCAAACGACGGAACAATTGGAGTAGAAGCCAGAACGGGTAAAAAACGGAAAAGCGAGAGATCCGGTTTTCCTCGTGTGTCGACACGAGTCAATTAAAGTGAAAAGCCTGGAAACTATCGCATGCAAATAAGGATTAACCAGGGACTTCCGGTCCCCGCGACCGCTAATTAACACGACATAACGGTTCATGCATCACCGTAGCGTTTATAATACCCATCGATCAGTAGAAAAGTCGGTCCTCTCCGTGTCTCCGTGCTTAAAAATTCTCTCGGTTCTTGCTCAGAACGATGCGAACTTGTTTTTTCCCGTCCGGTTGCTTTAAAGTTGCGTAGGAAGTAGGTGAACGTTGATATTGCGCAAGTCTGTGGAAAGATGAAAGAACACGTTTCGATCTGTGTCCACTTACCACGGAGATGTTCTCCTTCTCGAGCTCGCTCTTCTTGCTCTTCTTGGTCTTCTTTGTGCGTGGAGTGAGGTTAGCCGAGGCATCGTTACCGGCGACGCCCTCGATCTTCTTCTTCTTCGTCTTGGTCCCACCCTTGGTGCCTGGTGAACTCTCCACGCTCGTTGCTATCGTCTCCTCCCTGCTCTCGCTCTGTATTAACATGGGAAAATTGCTCTTGTCAATTTTGTAATCATCGACGAGCCTAATTTTCAGAGAAATTCAGCTTATTCGTGACGTAGTACTCTTGGTGGCAAAGGAAAAATTCGGAAATTATTGCTCCTTTTTCTTGGAAGTTTCGCGTGAATTTTTGTAACAAGTTCAAGTATGCTAGAAGGATCTTTATGTCAGAGTGACAGAGGTCCTTACGACCAAAATTATCAGCTATTTCTACGAAAGTGGATCAATCGATAGAGAAGCGGAAAAAGAATTTAAAACAGAGTGCGTGAATAGAGCGATAGAGAGACTATAAGGGTGCAAGAATATAGGATGTGAAAAATGCGTGCTCGAAGCAGTGAGAAAATAATCCGTAACTTCCTAAATACTGCGAATATATTAATTTTTATATTAAAACAAATTTTACTCCAACCACTCCTGCGTCTCTAAATAATCTCCAGCTATTACAAAGTCCACGTCACAGGCAATTACGACTTCACAGACGCGAAAGGGTTCGTGTCCTCTGGACGCAAGAATTCCCCGCAATCTCTGATCTCCGCTAAATTGAAGGATGTCGCCAGAACAGTTTTCCTAATTACAACCACGGAACGTCGTCGGCTATCGAGACGCGCATCCGGAGGGAGGAACGTGGCTCTTGAAAGTTGCGAAAGATTGAAAGTAGCATCGTTAATAATAACGGTGATCCGGCGACGCTAATATACTCGAACGGTAATCCGACCTCGTTCGATACGATTCTTTCGAAAGACCGTAATATACGAATCGGCTATGCTCCAAGGATCGCGATTTTATCAATTTTCGCCGGGATAACTTCCGAAGGATAATCGTGTGTAACGCAGGAATGGTACCGGCGGAGACGAAACAGCGCGACCTACTATTTTGCATATTGGAAAGGTGACACGCCGTCTCATCCTAGTTTGTAATTGCGAGAGTTTCTATCGTGGATACGAAAAAGTATCACCTCTTCCTACGAAAGTGGATCAACCGTGTGTTGGAAGTGTAACGGCACCGAGGTGTTTCGTGGAAAACGCTTTCGTTCGTTTCCTGATTGTTGATCGAGGCTAATCGTTGCAACAAGTCATCTTCGAAATGCTTAGAATAGCATTTACAGAGAAATTCACCGTCCAGTTTCACGTTTCACTTGGTTCTGTTCCTTTAATTTACGTACGATCGGTGTGTATTCTAATCTAGCGAGACATTAAGACGTTCTTACTTACGGATTCGTCTTGTAATCTGAGTTTGGAATTGGTAGTTTGATACGCTGAAAAATATACGTCGAGAGAGAGAGAGAGAGAGAGAGAGGCTGCCTCTGGTAATGGGAATTTTATGTGATTTCATCTGTTACACATTTTCTTTGATGTGTGCACAATGCGAGGAGGAATGAATTGCAGCCGTGATCAATGGGCAACTCGTAGGGGGAAGAGAGTGTCGTGCATTCCTTTTCCACGCGTTAACAAGATATTAATGACCGGGTAGATATGAATCGTGCAGCAGACCGATCTCACCGGTTAACAAGCGCATCGCGTTCCTCATGAAACACACGAATTCTGCATATAACGAACAATGCCTCTGATGCAACTGATGCTTCTTCTTTTTTTCAACAGGCGTTTTCTAAAAATCTTCTTCAAAGCGGAGTTTCATTTTATTGCCGGTATATTGTATATCGACTTTGCGTAACGAGGTAGAGGGTCGTTTGATATTCGGTGTTGGCTTTGGGAGAGAACAGACGAGTGGGGTTATTAAATTTTCGCGGAGAAGAATATTTTGGGGGAAATTGGGGTGTCGATCGATCTTCTCGCGGTGATTTTTATTGGTGGATGACGAGGTGCATAGAGGGATTCGAAGATTAAAAATTCTTAAGGCTGTCCGTTATTTTTTACTCTCAAAAAATTCTTTGGAATACTGATCACTTCTCGAGTGAAAAAATCGATCGTTAAGGGACACAGATTAAAAATTTCCAAGGCTACTCTTTAGTTTTTATTCTCAAAAAATTCTTTGGAATACTGGTCACTTTTCGAGTGAAAAAATCGATCGTTAAGGGACACAGATTAAAAATTTCCAAGGCTACTCTTTAGTTTTTATTCTCAAAAAATTCTTTGGAATACTGGTCACTT